GGGGGGGGGGGGGCGAAGGAACAATAGCCGAGTGGATGACGTTCGGGATTGAGGAAGCTGATTGAGATTCGATGGAAGTAAGAGCAAAGGAAAAGAAGAAACAGAAAAAATATATATATATACACACACAACTTACGCGAGGTATGTCTAAAGTTGTAAGAGCCAATTATCGTAAGACGCGCGCGCGCGCGCACACGCACACACACTAAACAAGGGTATATATATATATACACATATATAGGTACAGAGATGCAACTCCGTACGGATCTCACGCATGACGGAGGAGACGCGTGTGAGATGCGTGAGACGTGCGTGAGACGTGCGTGACGTACGGATGAATTGATAGATTGTATAGTAGCACACTGATAACACAGCCTATAGATGCAGCCACGCGTTATAGAGGGACACAGAGGGACACACGGAGAAACAGTAGATCTCTAGGGTGGAAGTTAAAGGTACTTCTAGACGTAGTCTAGTCTAGTCTAGCCTATCGGTCACTAGTTTAAAGAGGAGAAATAGCGAGTAAATATATCTGCAGAATGCATTGAGCACCGTCACTACGTGGCTGCTGTCTCCATCATCGCTTTCAATTCGATTCGGCGAATCGAAGCGTGTGTCCGGTCGGATGCGTCGCTGGGTCCTTTGGAAGGAAGATTCTGCCGCGTCGGGACGCCGTCGCGACGCCACTCTGTTAGGCATCGGCAAGTGCGTCGCTTGTGGCGTCATCGAATCATGAGATTCGCCGCTCACCATCCAATCCAGTCTCTCTGTCTTTTTCTTATTTCAATCTCTCTCTCTCTCTCTCTCTCTCTCTCTCTCTCTCTCTCTCTCTCACTTATTTAATATCAATCCTTTATATTTTAACCAGATGCCACCCAATTCCTTGTGCGCCGAAGGAGGCTAACGATCAGTCGATGAGCAATCAAGAATACTCGGCCGGAGGTCCTTTTTCTCACGCTCCCTTATCGCGCCCGATCGAGGCCTTATCGCGTGACAGCTGACAATCAAGAGAAACATACTTTAAAGAATCTTCATTTGTTCGCGCCGAGCAACGGACATTTGCTAATCGTAGACTCCCTTCGTCGTGGCCTCTCTCTCTCTCTCTCTCTCTCTCTCTCTCTCTCTCTCTCTCTCTCTCTCTCTCTCTCTCTCTCTCTCTCTCTCTCTAGTACACACACTCGCATTCCGTATCTCGCTCTCTGTCTCTCTGTTGATGAACCGACCTCTATAGAGAGAAAGGGGGAAGAGAGAGAGAGAGAGAGAAAGTCATAAGCATAACCATGCACTATCGCAGTTACAAAGTATACACGCATACACGCATATTTAACCGAATCGATCCTCTCCTCTCTTCTCCTTCTTCGCCGGGAGAGAATTCACGACGACAACTCCTGGAAGTACTTAACGAGCGGGATAAAGAGAGAGAGAGAGAAAGAAAGAAAGAGAGAGAAAGAGAGAGAGAGAGAGAGAGAGAGAGAGAGAGAGAGAGAGAGAGAGAGAGAGAGAGAGCGAGAGAGAGAGAGAGAGGGAGCTGAGGGTGCGAGGGAGGGATAGAGAATGGGGAACATGAAATATGGAGAATTCGAGTACGTCGTGTGTGACGAATCGCTGTTACTGGAATTTCGAAGTAAAGGCGCGAGTGCCCGATCATTCTGAATTCGATTCCACTTGTCGCTAACGAGATAGGATTGATCGGTATCGCGTACGGAGCAGCAGCCAGGCCAATTATACTTACCAATACAGAGCACCGCAGAAGAATACTTAGATATTAGTGCAAGCAAATAAGGAAACAAGAAAAAAAAACAAGAAAAAAATGTAGGAGCCGTAAGCGTAGACGTACTGAATATAATATAAATATATAAATATATATAAATATATATAAATATATATGTATATTATATATGCATAAGAATAATGATAGAACGTGCGATAGTGCGACCGAGAACGAGAGAGAGAGAGAGAGAGAGAGAGAGAGAATAGTATGCATGTGAGAGCGCACGAGTCAAGAAAGAAGTTAATGCGTATCGAGTATAAGCTTGAACGATCAATCTGACGACATACCATTAATGTTGCTCTATACGCCTATAAAATGGCGCACCTCCGTGACACCCTGTTAAATACCACGAACTATCTGTTAAACGAGCCGTAGCTGATGAGAGCGTGTGTGACATTGTATGCGAGAGAGAGAGAGAGAGAGAGAACCATTGTGAAAGAATGAGCAAAAGTAAAGTATAGATTGGGTGAGAAAAAAGAGTGGGGAAAAAAGAGAGAAAGTTTTGTAAAGATCCAAGTGGACCCCGTGCGATCCAGGGCGACCCGCGAACTCTTTTTCCTCGTGAACGACCGATGCCGCAGTCAGTCGCCTTAACGCCCCTTCGGATATACATACATACCTAAATGCATGTATAAACACCCTTACGTAGTAAGGGTTGGCAGGCACGTATCACTCGGAGACACATACTGCTCCCACGAGAAGAGATCTGGTCCTACGTCATATAACCCCAGCATCCTGGTACCGTCCTGGTCTGCCTTTTACAACCCCCCCCCCCTTTCCCTCCCTTCCCATCAGCTCTCGCGGCAGTACGGTGTGACGCTATACAGATCGTTTCTAATTTTCAAAATCACTGTGCAGCCGGGTGTCTCCTGCCGACCCCGATATAACGGAGACAGATCAATATCGATGCTCGATCGTTCTGTCGCGACGGTGAGGATTCGCTTTTTCTTTGAGAGCTCTTCCTCTAAAGAATTCGTAGAGATCATCCCTCAACGTGGAAACCCACGAGGGATGACTGGAGCTCGAAGGAAGGAGAGCCAAAGAAAGAACATCCGGAACTCCTTAGCATCCTCCGTTCTGAGCTCACCGGGCCAGCTTCTTCTAGCCATGGATTCTCGCTTCGAATCTCTGTCAAAGATCAGCCGCTCTCCTGCCGAAGGAGTCGGGAGTGCCGGAGGTCCGGAGAGCCGGAAGGATCGAACGTAAAAGGACGAAAGCTTGTGTCTCGTAGAAAGAGATAAAGAATCGCGGGATCGAAGGGTTCACGGGGTCACCGTCAGATCTCGTTGCGTATCAGATCTTGTTAGATTCTAACGTAAGAGACCTTTGGTAAGGTAATTGCGAGACGAGGACAGGTGGACGAAAGCGAAGAGTGCGAGAGCGAGAGGAGAACGAAAGGCGGAGGGAACGGAGAACAGTTTGTAGGAAGAGTCAGAAGGATAGAAACAAAACTTGCGAAGCCTGTATGTTAATTTGCAACGTCGCGAAAAAGGGGTACACACATCCACACACGTACACACATGAGACGCGTGGGACGTGCGTGAGTATAAAGTTAAAGAAAAAAAAAAAGAAAAAACATGTATGATATTATATATATATATATATATATACATAATACGACATAAAGTATATTATAAATGATGAGGATTATATATATATAGATATATATGCGGCTATATATATATTATATATATATAAATACTATACAAATAAACAAATTATAAATATGGAAAAATATATAAACAAAAATACAGGATAACGTTTAGACGTAAGTATAAGATACTATTATTATGATGTATGGTTGGTTTATAATGTAAAATATATTATAGAAAATGTATTCTATCGATTTAATTCCTTTTAATCCAACCCCTGTTTACGTAGGCTTGTCAAAGCAGCCGCTTCGGCCACTCAGTCTTTGCCGATTCTCAACGGTGCCCAATTACCCATGGAAATGAAGGTAACGGCCTAAGCCTTCGACCTTTCACCTTCCTCTAGTTCATTAGGCAGCCATATCTGCATTACGTATGTACGCATATATGGGTATGTACGTGCTCGCAATGGTTGGGAGATAATTCGAACGAGGTGATTGTAGTGGGAGTGAAAGGGGGGGGGGGTCACCGGGATTTTCGTGTAAATCCCGTAACGCGAAATGGACACGAGGACATACCCCTAGCGGCGTCTAGTCGGAGTGGCCGGGCGGCCCGAAATCGAAAGTGAACGAGTCGATCGTCGCGATGCTGGATCCAAGAGCTACGTCATGCGACGCCATGCGACGCCGTGCGACGCCATACCCGACCACAGGAGAGCAGAGCCATGTCGTGCCGTGCCGTGCCGTGCCACATCGTTTCGAGAGGGTGAGTACAGAGAGATAGGGGTGAGATACGGAAAAAGGGGTAGCGTAGAGATGGAATGAGGGAAAATGGCTGCGAGGGGAGGGGGGGGGTAGATGGGCAGAGGGGAAGCGCACAGTCCCTGTAGTCACGTAGATAGGTAGACGTGGTAGGAGCTCATATCCATATGTATATAGTGTGTGTGTGGTTACTGCGAAGGTTGATAGGAATGCTCGAGTATAGGTGCTAGGGGATGTAGGTGCGCGTAATTGCGAGATAGGGGTGCGGTACCCAGTTATTTTAGCAGGACTGACGGACACGCCGACATGACAGCCTACGGAGTCCGCGCGTCGGCGTTCAGCGTCGAGCGGCGTGTCCTCGCGTGTGGCCGGACGTCCGCGGACTATAGAGACTGTGGAGACTATGGAGACTATAGAGATCCCTGTGTATAACGCGGCGGTATATAGAGTGGCGCAACGGAGAATAGCGTAGTATAAAGCATAAACTACAATTAGCGGTAATCCGCGTGACACGGGCATGCCACCCTTTACGGATATTACGGCATTAGCCCCCTCTAGCTCTGCGCCTAGTACCCCCTTCGTCATTTTGGGACAGGGTGAACACTGCACTCAAGTATCTAAAGTCAAATGAAACGCATCCCCCGTGAGTCATTGCCTACGTTGTGTGGCACTTTCGTATTTTAGTCTAGATACGTAACTTCACGTTTAGACCTTTTGTTTCGTGACGCTACTCAAACAGCTGATGATCTTCCAGAGCTAGGGGTGATACCGTGAAACGTCATAAGGGCGGCTCCGAGGGAAAACCGGCTTTTTGGGAAGAGTCGGAATTAATCTAAGTGCAATTAGTCCAGTGGGAATTTCGACACGGTCGCCGAGTCAGGAATGGGTGCGGGCGGCGTGCGACCAATGGGAGATCGTCAGTGGCCTCGCCCGGGCATCGCGACGACCGGATGCAGTTCCGTTTAATTTTTATAACGGGTTGCATAATAATAACATCTAAATAATGCCAGGAGCACCAGCGATACGCAATCCGATGTCACTGCCCCATGACTGCCGTACGCGTGTAACAAATTCAATGATAACGGGACGCCCGTGTAATTGTTGTTAATTTATGTTGAATATACATTTGCCTCAGCCGCTGCGTATCATCACAAATAACAACACTGCAATACTGCCGGTTCGACCGTCATTCCCCCCCCCCCCCCCCCC